AGAAGGGTAGAAGCTTTTCAAAAGTATGCAGAAGAAGTAGCCGCTAATCAAGAAAACTCATTAAGTTTTTCTTAATGCATATCTGTCTCCCTGACGTCAACGACGTCTCTTTTTAACGCAAATTGTTGCGCTTGCTCAACATAATGACGGATCAAATTAACATCCTCCCCCCAAGCAGACCAAGTTAAGAGCCACCCCAGCATTCAGTTCAAATTAAATTTGCTAAGCATTGCCTCTGTTTAATGCTCTTTTCTGGTTGACTGAAACTTCGAACTCATAGAATCAAGCTAACATCCTCCCCCTAAACGGCTTGGGGGGATGTTAACTTGGTCCCATTATTGTCATGCCGCCAACAACCATATCTCTAATTTAGGTAGAAAATGTTGAATATTGGTTCAAAAATTCCTTTCCATGATTTGCAGGAAAGTTTTCGGGGCTTTTTTCATGCGTTTTGGGCTACTAGAAACGGGCAAAAAAATGCTGGTTTTTTATGACCCGAGTGGAGTTCCTAAACTGTTTTCAGCCTTTTCAAAGTTGCGCCGGTGATAATTACTCGACCGAAAGCTCATAGCCTGGAGAGGATCATAGTCGGAAGCTCATAGTCGCGACAGTTTGAAAAAGTCGTGTAATGGTCCGAAAATGAGTTGCGGCAGTCTGAAAAGTAGTTTCAATAGTCTGAAACATAGAATCAAAATACTTACGAGTTTGTGTTACGACAGTCAACAATTAAGTCGCATAAATGAAAACAGTCGTTTTAGTTTGCAAATTGGTCGCACTTTGCAGAACAGTGCGGTAGGGCGATGCGGACAAAAAAAGTTACGTGAACAAAGTACAACTACAACGACGTCGAAAACGAACTAGGAGACGACCAAGAAGACGACTACGTCGAAAAAACGATATAAACTAGACAAACATAGAACTAGCTGGAAATACCAGGAAATAACAAATAGAACTTTTCAGTCTCAGTAAGACAATAAATGGAAAAAAGGCAAGAGGCAGAAAAATTTTCTACGTAATTCTACTTAACAGTTTCTACCTAGTTAGAATACAGTTTCTATTTAATGACACATATAGGAAACGTCTTCAGAAAAATCACCTTGACAATGTCCCAGATATTTATGTTTTTATGAGGCTGTTTGATCGTTCAATAATTAGATTCTATGAATACCAATTAACCGTAGAACAGTCAAAACGAGCCAAAACCTTCAAGAAAAAATTGAAATTTAAAAGCGCGTTTGGCGAAACGGTGCAGTCACTAAGTTCAAGATCAAAAATTCGGATGTTCAAGCGCCGATTCCGACAAACTTTTTCGGTATTTGATTAACCCGAAATTGGGTGAATATGTCGAAGTTGAAATCGGATGACTCGGTTGAGCCAAAAGAGAAGGGGATGCATTGATAATCAGTTTTTTTGAAACACTTGTTTTGAAACACGTAGTCATAGTTTGATGTTGCTACTGCACCCTTTCAGGAAACTCGGAAGTTTACTAGGGTCGTAGACCGCAACCAACTTGGAAAGGTTTTTGTCAAGTTTGCTATAAAAAGGTTTTTTATAATGTGACACTCTTTGCCCGGAAACTCACTGTTTCGATCAAGGTTTCGGCGTTTTTTTGGACATCCTGGAATTTTTCATTGGACTTGGGGTATCTGTTGAAATTCGATGTTTGAAACGAGCGTTTGCACCATGATCTAGAGTTTTTTTTGTCACAAAGATTTCCATTGTTAACACGAACTCGATAGCAATAACAACGACACTTCGATCTCGCATATCTAAAATGAGCAAATTATCAATCAAGCAATATTTGTGTAGATTTGTGTAATTGATGTGAATTTTGTCTCTAATATACTGCTCGAAAAAATTTGGGTCTAATTGCTAGTTGCGTGGCCTTATCGATTTAATCCCTCCTATTGAAATCTTATCAAATTAGTTCGGTCACTAACTAGCCTCGCAATTGCTCGGACAATTTTTGTTCAGTCAAAAGCAACAGCATTTTTGATTTAAGATAGCCGGTTGTTAGAAGCACTGAAGGTTTCGACCATAGTCTTAGAAAATTTTTTTTCCAATTTTGTGTTTTTTTTCTACGTGGTGTGATGAAAAAACTTGAACGAAAAAAAAAGAAGTTAGGCATACTTGATAGTTATATTAAAAAAAACAAATGGGAAACAGTTTTTGTAGAACAATTGCCGGAGAAACAAAAAAATTGTTATTACTATTTTTTTAATTTTCAAAACTTTTCATTTTTTTTTGCAGAAATTTTGTTAAAAACTTCAAAAATTAATTTAATTCAAGTAAACTAAGTTTTCAATGCCTAAAGTAAGCATGAATCTGCTATTCTAAGCCTAGAATTACTATTTTTTTAATTTTCAAAACTTTTCATTTTTTTTGCAGAAATTTTGTTTAAAAACTTCAAAAATTAATTTAATTCAAGTAAACTAAGTTTTCAATGCCTAAATTAAGCATGAATCAGCTATTCTAAGGCTAAAAGCTTAAATTATTAGCCCGAACTCAAAGACCAAAATCAAAAACTTCAAACCAGTGTTTCTAATTCGTAGCAACTGAGCTAAATGACAAATGAGTGAGCTTTAAATCAAATTTGAGTTTTTCATCAATAACCTCTCAAAAAATCTATGATTAAAATCGATCTGAATTTATTATATTAATGAAAAAACTTTGAGGATTACAATTCATTTTTGCTAGAAATGCGGGAGGGGTTTTAGTGGGGACGGGGAGAGTGGCATTATCATAAATGGGAGAGGTTGTTAATTGCATGAGGCTTTTAGAAGTTTCAATTTTTTTTATTAAGGGTAGTTGGTTTAGAATTCGAGTAGGCCGTATCTAATGCGTAAGCTTGTTCAACTAACTTTTCAGCATTTTCTTTGGAGATTAGTATCCATTATAATTAATTATGAATGGATTTAAATCAGTTTGAACTTTTCAAACAAGAATTTTCCATAATAGATTTATAATCCAATTTGACGGCTGAAAGCTTCAAGATAATCCATTATAATGGAAATTTTCTTCTAACAGAAATTTGCTGTCATCGACTTCTTCTTACGAAACTACGAAACTTCTGTGCGACTTAGAAACTCGTTGGTTGGTTTTTTCTTATGGTTGAAGAATGTTTATACAGTCTAGAGTACTTGGAATGCAACTCTTTTGACACTTACAATTGAGGAAGCTCAAATTTTGCAAGAAGTTAGCAGGTCTTACATTCTTCTGCTCAGAATTCATAAGCATGCAAATTTCTTGTCAGAGTCATGCAGCATTTCCATTCTCCAGCCGTGTGCTTGAGAATGCAAAATCTTGAAAAGTTCTGCTGTGGAGCTTAGTCGTGTAGACACTAACTGATGACGTTTATATCATTTGACAAATTTATCGGACAATATCCAAAATTTTCCAAATAATTCTGACCCTGAGACACTGAAATGGCGCTAAAACTGCAATCGAATTTTCAGAACTGCATTTGAATGGAGAAATGAGCAATGCAAAACGATTGCACTTTTTCGGAAAAATTCATTTTGCCCTAATTCAAGAGCACAATTGGAAAAAAATTTCACTCAACGACGATTTGCTATGAATTTTTATATTTGCTATTTAATAAGTTGTCCGATAAATTTGTTCAAAGCTGTAGTAAGTCCATTAGTGAAAAAAAAACATTGGCAAAAAGGCTTTGCTAAAACTTCCGTTGGTTTCAGCTATTTTTCTTCAGAATCTCAAGTTCACGATCATTTCACTTAGGTTCTTTTTTCTCAGTGAGAAACAAATACAGATTAACAATTAAATTCTGACTCCTACGGACTCTACAGGAAGCCCCGGTTGTTAATTTGCTTTTTCCGAAATGAACTGAAAGACCCTTAAATCAAGTACTAGTTCTTAATTCGGAAGATTCAATTATTTACAAGAATATGGCCGTTCTGCTAATCAAGAGATTATGAAGCTGAATATAACTCAAGGGGGATTGACTTGGAGTTGGAACACCTCTTTGAGTTGAGCGACTTAATGGCACTTGTTCTTAGCCTGATCAAATTTACAGAACCATTGTTCATATTTGACATTTGGTCACCCAATTAACTTGGCAAATTTGAGGTCAACGATTTCTAAGTGATTCTATTATAATCGGCGACATTTGGAAAATAAAGTTTTACTTTGAACTTGTTCGGACACTTCAAACAGACCAGCAGCAATCCAAAACAATGCTATATCATCTCTCAATCGCAAGTTCAAGCGGGCTATATCATATTAATTTTTTAAGTGTTATTGTTCCGCTTTCAAAGAAAGTGTGGAATATTTATTTTATTTTGGTAGGGTTGAACCGTTTAGGTATACCTCTGGGAAAACGATAAAGATAGAAAGTGTAAAATATATGCAATGTGTTTTTTTTGCCACGGGGCCTTGAAAGTTTCCAAGTAATATTCCATGTAACGCCGCCAATGATAATCACTAATCTAAATGCAAATTGATAGCCAATTTTAAACCAGGTGCAATATGAATTTGAACAAACAATGAAACAGTCTGGTAGCATCCGGACTACTTTCAACATCAGATATCAGAGTTATATTTTTCGGATATCTGTAAATATTTCTCCCTCTAATGCAATAGGGGGAGAGAGATTTGTTACTTGTCGTATATGCTTAGCAGTTATGTACCATAGGAGGGGGTTAGTGGGTGGTTAAGGAGATCCCTTCTCTCAAATGCAAACTCTGATAGCTATACCAAATGAAAAAGACTGAAGTATTTAATAAAAAAAGACATCCGTTTCTAGCTTAGTAAATAATCCCCCATGGCTTGTTTTATTTGTACACAAAACATTTGGCCAACCACATTTGCATGTCATTGAAATCTTTAGCTCGGAATAAAGACGCTGAAATGGATTTAAAAACTAGGCGCAGGGGTGGTTGTTAGAAGAGGGCAGTTTTTTGTTATTTTTTGAAAGTAGACCAATTAGGCTTTCTGAGCTATCTTTGTTTATTTAAAAATTTATTCAAGTCCGCAGTCAATATTTTATCAAATTGTACCAAAAGAGCCTTCGTTGGACTTTTTTGGAGTCATTCTCAAAATCATATATAAATTAAATAAACATTAATGTGAGCATTCATTTTGCGCAGTGCATCTTAAATGTTCAAACTTACTAGATTCCGTTGAGGAAAATTATAATTTAGAAACAATATCTGAACTCCAAACGCTAAACCGTTTTTGGAAGAGAATGACAAGTTGGTCTCGTTTTAGCGCCAAAATGAAATGGACTAGGAGGACGGACCAGAAGGAATCAAACAACAGAGGGCGTCTCAATTGTTTGTGTGTGCGCGTGCGTGTGTGTGTGTGTATGTGTGTGTGCGGATGATGTAGTTTCTAATAACAGTTCTAAAATGATGATTGAAATTATAGTTTTGACAAAATGGCAACTTTTAAGCGCAAAACTATTTTATAAAATATCTTTTTCCAAATAAAAATTCTCAGACTAAAAAAACAACGACAGGTGGTTGCAGTGCACTTAGCACTGATTGCAGGGAAAACAGATTTAAAACAAAAGAAAAAAAAATATATTCCATTTTCCCCCAAAATTTTGTGTTTGTCTGTTTTCTGTGAAGGGCTATTGAAGCAAGCATAGAATGCACATATAATACATTGTTAAGACAGTGCTGATTCAAGTTGTCTGGAGAAAACGGTTACAATTAGAAGCATGAAAGCGGCAGTTTCTCAAAGTGTGTGAGAAATTAGGTAAAAGGAGATCAGAACAAAAATTGCCGAAAAATTTTGCAAAATTTTCATGTTGCAATTTGATTAGCAAAATTTTGGTCTAAACTTCAACTTCAAAAACGGTTACTTTTGGCAGCAAAATTAAACAAAACTACAGCAATTGCCGAAGAATTTATGGGGGAACGCGTCTCCAAAAAATTGCACAAAGCGCTTAAAAATTGCTTTTGACTTAAGAAAAATGGTATTTCATTTAAGAAAAAGAATTTTTCTGTCATCCAAATAAAAATGAAATGACACAAAACTGAGATGTTTAAATCCTCCTGAAACTCTCTGATGCTACTTGAGAGATTCAATTTGATTTAATTTTGTCATCAGTTGACCCCGTTGATTTTGTGTAATTTTTGATTAACTGAATACAACCAAAAAAATTCATTTAAAAAAAAAATTCGGTTGCAAATTTAGCAAAACAAACTCATCAAAAGATTCTTTCATTTTCAATTGAGGCTGTATAAATGCTGATTTGTGTAACATCTGTAGTTTGAGTAATTTCGGCAATCAAAAAAAAAGTTTTTTAAATTTTTTTTCATAAGGTACACACATGTTCTCTACATGAATGATTGGGTTACACTTGTTTTTGTTGAACTACTAACTTAAATCTTATTCTAACCACTTTGAACGTTTTGAAAATGAACAGATGTAGCTATTTGTTTGCTACGAAGGTGCAATAGATTTTCTTGCTGCAACGCATGTAAAACTAGTCTTGTTTTATTTGTTCACAAAAAGTTGGCCAACCACATTTGCATGTCATTGAAATCTTTAGCTCGGAATAAAGACGCTGAAATGGATTTAAAAACTAGGAGCAGGAGTGGTTGTTAGAAGAGGGCAGTTTTTGTTATTTTTTGAAAGTAGACCAAATAGGCTTTCCGAGCTATCTTTGTTTATTTAAAAGTTTATTCAAGTCCGCAGTAAAAATTTCCTCAAATTGTACCAAAAGAGCCTTCGTTGGACTTTTTTTGGAGTCATTCTCAAAATCTTATGTAAATTAAATGAACTTTAATGTGAGCATTCAATTTGCGCAGTGCATCTTAAATATTCAAATTTACTAGGTTCATTTGAGGAAAATTATAATTTAGAAACAATATCTGAACTCCAAACCCTAAAACGTTTTTGGTTGAGAATGTCAAGTTGGTCTCGTTTTAGCGCCAAAATAAAATGGTTTAGGAGGACTGACCAGAAGGAATCAAACAACTGAGGGCTTCTCAATTGTTTTTGTGTGCGTTTGCGCGCGTGTGTGTGTGTGTGTGTGAGGATGATGTAGGTTCTAATAACAGTTGTAAATTGATGATTGAAATTATACTTTTGACAAAAAGGCAATTTTTAAGCGCAAAACTTTTTTTTAAATAAAATTTCGTTTTCCAAATAAAAATTCTCAGACTAAAAAAACAACGACTTAGCACTGATTGCAGGGAGAACAAATTTAAACATAAGAAAAATAAAAAAAAATCAAATCATTCCATTTTTTCCCAAAATTTTTTTGTGTTTGTCTGTTTTCTATGAAGGGCTATTGAAGCAAGCATAGAATGCACAAATAATACATTATTAATACAGTGTTGATTTAAGTTGTCTGGAGAAAACGGTTACAATTAGAAGCATGAAAGCGGCAGTTTATCAAAGTGTGTGTGAAATTAGGTAAAAGGAGATCAGAACAAAAATTGCCGAAAAATTTTGCAAAATTTTCATGTTGCAGTTTGATTAGCAAAATTCTGGTTTAAACTTCAACTTCAAAAACGGTAATTTTTGTCAGCAAAATCAAACAAAAACTGCATCAATTGCGGAAGAATTTATGTGGAAACGCATCTCCAAAAAATTGCACAAAGCGCTTAAAAATTGGTTTTGACTTAAGAAAAATGGTATTTCATATAAGAAAGAGAATTTTTCTGTCGTCCAAATAAAAATGAAATGATACAAAACTGAGATGTTTAAATCCTCCTGAAACTCTCTGATGCTACTTAAAAGATTCAATTTGATTTGATTTTGTCATCAGTTGACCCCGTTGATTTTGTGTATTTTTTGATTAACTAAATACAACCAAAAAAGTTTTTTTTTTGTAAGAAAAATTTCGGCTGCAAATTTAGCAAAGAAAACTCATCAAAAGATTCTTTCATTTTCAATTGAGGCTGTATAAATGCTGATTTGTGTAACATCTGTAGTTTATGTAAATTCGGCAATCAAAGAAAAAGAGTTTTTTTAAAATTTTTCATAAGGTACACACATGTTCTGCACATGAATGATTGGGTTACACTTGTTTTTGTTGAACTTCAAACTTAAATTTTATTATAACCACTTTGAACGTTTTGAAAAAGAACAGATGTAGCTATTCGTTTGCTACGAAGGTGCAATACATTTTCTTGTTGCAACGCATATGTAAAATTGGTCGCCCAAAATGAAAAAAAAATTTGTTACTTTTTGATTATCTTAAGTTTAATCGATTAGCTTTCTTATTGACGAAGTTGTAGTCCAGATATCATTAGTTATTTGTAATCGTTTTTCTCGCTGCAGTTTTTTTGCTTTATTTATAGCGGCTATTGTTCCGACTTTCGAAGAAAGTGAGGAATACATATTCTCTGGGTGTTTTAGACCAATTTTAGAAAAATTGACTGAATATATCGATCCGCAAACCTTTGGATTTTTAGGCGAGTATTAGAATTTTTGAGCGAGTCAAGCTATTTGGTCTTTTTAATTCAATAAACGACTCAAATTTCACTATGTGATTATATCAGCCTACAATTCTTAGTTTTGCCGATATTTAAATAACCAAGAATTTTTCGAGACTAATTATTGAGCAGTCGGGTCGGAACATTCAGGGCTTCGCCCAGATACGAGCAGTATTTTTATTAAGTATACCCA